CACAATATAACATAGAGGAGGCAATAAATAGGGGAATGAAGCTAAAATACTCAAAACAACCGCCTGGGTTGTTACATCCTCCCTCTCTTAAAACAAACGTTCGTCCTCGAACGAGTATGGAGACATACCTAAAGTGGTGAAAAGATGAGGGTAACGACTAGGCATATCATGCTCGATCTCCCAAGTAGCCTCCTTTATTGGTTGACCTCTCCACTAAACCTTCACTGAAGCAATGTTCTTTGACCTCAACTTTTCAGACCTGCCTGTCCAAGATGGCCACCAGCTACTCAACATATGACAAATCCTTGTCCAATTGGACTAAGCTAATATCTAACACATGCACCACACAGTCCACATGTAACAGTTTCAGTGTACAAATATTCATAAAGTCCCTTGCGTCGCGACTTCGTCGGTCTTCCTGGTTTGCCCTTCACTATCGGTGGTAGGACCACATTATCTAACACCTCTGTTGGAAGGTCCCATGAAGTTTCATCTGGAAGTGGATTAACTGGCACTTCATATGTCTTCTTGAAGTATTCCTTGGTGTAATAGGCAGAACAATATTTGGGTGCTTCCATGTGTGTGTAGTCCAATACTGCCATAGCATGTGGACAAGGAATCTCATCCACTTGAAATTGTTTGCACGAGCATTCTCTTTTTTGCATGCAGACTATGTTCCGCCTTTGTTCAGCATCCATTACTACATATACATAATCGGTTGAAGGCCTCACCTAAATTTAAATAGATATCATTAGTAAAACTAAAACATGGATATGACAAGTATTAATGCATTTTTGTCAATGTATGTTGCTCCGGCGTATGAAGTAAGACATGATAAAAGAATATTTACCGTCATCTTCTGCGACAAATAGCTATTTTCCTTCAGTACTTCATGATATTTTTTTCCTACGCCAATAAATGTACTCATTGCAGTCATTCTATTTGTATTATTCCATTCCATAACCAAATTCATCATGTAATCTAGCAAACTCATGATTGGTAGCTCTCTTGCCTCTCTGTTCCTTGCATTGAGTGACTCGGCAATATTTGAAGTCATCACCATGGATCTATTAATAGTGGAATGCACTATAGACCACTTTTCATAACCAACTTGGAATAGGTAACCCCTTACCCTCTTATCAACGCTGTCCATATCTTGCATGAGGCGATTAAAATCTTCAATTTTGTATGCTCTGGCCATTGCAAAAAATACTTCCCTCAGCCAGTCATGGTTCTTCTTGAACTGCTTCTTTATGTTATTCCAAAGATGAAAGATGCATACGCAGTGAGATACCTCTGGATACACAATCGAAGCACCCCTCAATATGCTTGCATGACTATCCGATACGATGCACATCCTTTCCCTTTCCCCAAAAGCCTGTCTAAACATTTCAAAAAACCATTCCCAGGAAGCATCATTTTCAGAATCTACAACAGCGTATGCTAGTGGAAAAATTTTACCTGGTTAAGAAAATAAGAAAGCATCCACATGTTATTTTTGTTATACACAGATAAGAACTATCTATACCATATATAATTATTATACGAGTCTGCAACATATTCACCTGCCGCATTTTGTGCGCTAGCTGTTAACATTGTTCCTCTGTGTGATGATTTGAGGAATGTCCCATCAACCACTACAATAGGGTAACAGTATTTCCATCCTATGATTGATGCATTTAGTGCGACAAAAACATACATGAAGCGCCCGTCCTCTGATTTATGTAACATTGTGAAAGAACCAGGATTTGTCATTGTCACACCTCCTTTTATAGTACCATATAATAAAGGGAGTTATTTCCAACTTGAAGTGACAATCGGAACGGGATTTATTATTAAATTTTTAGAGTCGCCACTTAGGAAATTAGTGGTGTCCCAAGTCACCGGTTAGATCCCGACCCGAGGAGATTATGACTCTGTTATCAGTCCGCGAGCCAGAAATCCAGGTAAGAAATTCTGTTAACCCGGGAGAAGGTGTTAGGCATTCCCGGGTTCCGTGGTTCTAGCACGGTCGCTCAACTGTTGCATTTGATTTTATCTGATTTCAAAACATGTTATGTCCCATGTGCTTTTACTAGTAAACCGCATTCATTTTTATTTTTAAGAATTGCAACGCTGTGAAAATGCATCTCGAACCACGTCGCACCAGTGCACCCGTGATTGTTAACACACTTTGACTACGTTGAGATTTGGATTTGGGTCACATAAATGTGCACCCGAATTCAGGAAAGTGATATTATTAAAGTACGCACCTAAAGCCACTACACGTTTTATTGTTTTTGGGGAAGGTCGTGAAATTCGCTAAACGACCTATCCCGGAGTCTAAACATTTAACTTAAGCATTTGTCAAGGGACCCGCAATCTATTTGCTTAGTGACCTTGAGAAATTTGAGAGACACTATTAAGTATTCTACTAATAAGAGAAGGCCCCAATCCAT